GAAATGAGTGTCGAAAACATACGATACGGACAGAAGTACTGGAAGAGAACCAAAAATGTGATGCTCAGTGAGTAGTCATGTAGTAATTGAAAAATTATAATTTTGTGTTTCAGTTTTGTATCAATTTTGCGAAACTAGTTTGATTTTGTTTTGGTGTCAGTTTTGTTTTGCAATACTAAGACTGAAACTGGTATTGCAAGTTTGTTTGGCGAAACCGATACTAATACATTAGATATAATATCAATGTCTATAATAATGTATACAAAACCAGATAAATATATTTATTGAAGGAATGTGAGGAAACGGGAGAGGGAAGGCAATTAAGTAATGACTCATTACTAATGAGCAATGCCTTTATGCGTTAGCTGTTTCTATTTACTTACTTACTTATAATTGGAATAGTACTAAATAGTATTATGATTAGTAATTTAGTATTAGTATAAATGATTTGGCGTCCTGACATATTACCAAATTGATACCAAAACACTTATTGTTAGGTATTATTTAAATCTGATAAAATCTATGCGCTGTACACCAATTTACTAACTAATTTTGTCTTTTATACACTATTAAGCAAAATAACATTTAGTGATGTAGCCTTATGTAAAGTAGTACAGAATCTCTACATAGATAGTAAATCAGAAAAAAACAAAGACCACACAGCTATGCTATAAGTTAACAACAATTTGGACATTGCTTAAAAAATAAATTAGCATTATCTACATATTTAATATGAGTACAATAAACTTGCAATAAACTCAGCATTGTCCATAGAATTAGCATTAGTCCCATATATTTAACATTACCCATAGAATTAGCATTGCCCATGTTAAAGTATAGCCATAGACTTAAGCTGTAATCCCATGTTAAATCCCATAGAGAGGGGGAGGGCGGGGGAGAGGTAGCCGAACAATCTTATAGACCCCATTATTTATAGTTGAATTGGTGCTAAAAATTATTATTTTAATTAAGATTTATTTGTTTGTTTGCTACATAATAATACAGTACATCATGAACTGGCTGACCCATGAGTTGTGTGAACTAAGCATTTGTGTGAACCAAATTGCAAAACATAAACTAGTCTCTCATAGACATAATGTTAAAAAAACATTAGTTGTGTGAACATAAACTGTATGAACTAATAATCTGTGTGAACTAATAATCTGTGTGAACAAATTGTAGCTAAAACTATGTGGCATTCAATGCATTTCACAGTGAGTTGTGTGAACCACACAAAATAACAAACTTATAGCCAAATATAAATGACAGCACCAAAATATTTCGTACATAAAACGGCTAATAAGTTGTTTACTTTCAATAAACCACTAAAATAACAGAAAATTACAACTATTTCTCTTAAAGCACTTATAAACTTGTAATTTAAAGCAACATTTGTGTATTAACAATACTTTTAGTTCATAATGATTTGTGTAAACTAAATGCCCAGTTCATTTTTTACTGTAGTATATTACAAATTTTATTTACACTATTAAGTAAAATCACATCTTGACACAATGCATTCAGTATATAAATAGTAATAGCAAAAAACAACTTATTTTAACCAAGATCTTTTTTGCTTGTCCTATTAATAAACAGCGCGTTTAGAAATGCTCAAACGTGCGCTAACTGTGGCCACCAATGACTACGAGCGCCAATTTCTTAACGACGTTGTGTTAGGAATGGGCCGAAAACTGGGCAAATATTTGGACGATTTTGAACACCTATTGGGCGGCATTAGCGACGACATACTGATGTACGCGCCCACCAATACGCTCGCCGATAACCATATCGCGTATTGGCGTGAAATAAAACGCAGTTCATTGGTACGCATGATGGCCACCGATTTGGTGCCCGCCTGGCACTTAATACAGCTCCGGGAGTACCTGAAACGTCAGCCCCAATACAAGCCGAGCCCGTTGTCTAACTTTATACAGTATATGGACTTACCTGTCGTAGAAATGTTCAACTTTTACAAGAGTGTCATTGACTCACACGCGCATAATATAACGGCTGCCGAAGAGCACGAGCTCTTCCAATTGACTCATGAAATGAATGATCTCGATCTTAAATTTCATATAAGTATGCAACAATTGTATATATTGGTGTGATCATATTTGTACAATATACTTGTGTGTATACTACGTAACATTGTGTATGCGATACTTTGTCTCATTTTGCATAGAAGTAATGCTATTATAAATAGATGAGACAAAGTATTGCTTACCCGCCATCAAATATATAAATTGAATGTTCAATTAAATTTACATAAGTATACAATTGTATACTGTATTGTATAATTACAATAAATAGTAATCAAGTTCAAATATTGACATTTGTTTATTTTCAGTGCCTATACTTCCGAAGGACAAGACATTATGCGATCGAGTGTTTGACTCATTAGACGACGCGATGGCGAAGATGTATAAAACAGATTACGTCCAGAAAATACTAATGAACGGAACAATGACTCCGGAAAACATACGCTTCGGTCGCAGCTTTTGGAAGCGATACAAAGATTTTCTTACGAGTGAGTTGTTAAGTATATAAATACACATTTGTAGGGTGGGTGAGGCGGTCGTAGACTGGAGGTGATCTAGTGTGTATTTACGACAATACAAAATACCCGTGTTGTAATAAAATTTAAATTAAACCACAAATCATCTCTCTCTCTCTCTCTCTCTCTCTCTCTCTCCCTCTCCCCAATACAGGTCACGTTGAGTTAGTGAAAAAAGCGACCTCGATGGCGACCGATAATAATCAACGCACAGCTCTTGACGCTCATGTCAAGCATTTGATCGCCGGTTTGGCCGAGTATTTCCCAAAGTTTGAACAACTATTGGGAGGCGTTCCCGATGAGGTGCGGCTCCGGCCGATGGACGAGTCGGCCATTGATATGCAGCTAATACTATATCGCGAAATGAAACGTGGTTCGTTTATACGCATGATGTTGGTCGAAATGGTTCCCATATGGCGTAATCTGGTCTTACGCGAGTACTTTAAACTACAGCCCCATTATAGTCGCCAACCCCTGTCCGACACAATTCTGTTTTATCACTTTGATATGAAACGCATCACTAATATGTATAAACATATCATCAATAGCTTCACTAACAGTACAACTGCCGCCCAAGAGCTCGAGCTGATCCAATTGGTCAAAGAAGTGAAAGAAGTAGATGGTAGATTCATCGATGCTATGTAAGGTTGTTTGTTCACTGTAAAGAGTATTTATGAAATAAATGCTAGATAGTTACTAAATGCTATTATTAAACGTTGTTTATATTATTTATATGCATTTAATTAATTAATTAATTTCATGAGTTCAATACACGACAAAGTGATAGCCAGTCGGTTGAGGTGTGCCACTTAATTTATTATAGAGTAACGATGCCCAAAATTTACTTCTCACTTGTCAGTACTTCCAGCATAAAACCCTTGTGTTGTAATTTATACACTATTCATACACACATATAGTGTACTCTAATATAATGAATACTTGAAAGAACTCCTTGGCAATTCAATAACCACGTCATGTTTATAATATCCCCCGTTTCAACCTGAACGCTTTTATTATAGAGTGTACTTTTCTTAT